TGTCCCAGCCATGTCATTGCAGTCCTCTGCCCCAGCTGTCCTTGTTGCCACCTCCGCGCAGCCAAGAGGAGGGGACGTGGGTTTCCCCTTTCTTCTCCCCTGGGCTGGCACAGGCAGCCATCCCCATCCCCATCCCCATGGCACTGAACAAGGGCTCAGTCACACCACAGATAACGGGCCAGATCCCACACCTGGCCTCACGCCTCTTCCCCTTCACAGCGGCACACGGGAGGGTGGGATAGCTCATCTTAGGACAGCCCTCCCCCCCCAACCCTCTTGTCACTTCATCTTCTCCGTTTCCTCCTCCTCCTCTTCCATCTGTGCAGGGGTTTGCATGTCTCCTCTTCCTCCCCCCCATCTGTACACCCTTCCCTTTCTCCCAGTGCATCAATAGCGAGCTGTCTTTCTCCTCTCTTCCCCAGGGTAATGAGTACTCCCTCCCAGCTCTGACCCCTGGTCTCGATGAAGTCAAATCAAGTCTATCCACCTCTGCCAACCCAGACCTGGGGACAAATGTGTCAGGACCCCAGACGTACCCTGTGGTGACCGGTAAGCTGCCTGACCAAACAGCAGAACCAAGCTTTTTATTTATTTCCCTCATCACCATTAGCTTCTGCTTTTTCTGCTAATGCAAGATATCTCTCTGTGGCAACCATGGAAAGAGACAGAAGGACTGTGGAGGATGTAAGGGATCAAGAGAAGTTTGAAATTCAGAGTATTGGCAGTTTTGGGTACACTTAGAGGTGCCCAGGTGTGACCCAAAGACAGGTAAACCTAGGCATGAATGGGACCTTGTGTGCTCAGATAAGGCTTAGGGATGGATGTTGGTGGAGGACAGGTATGTCCAAATACGCACTGTGATTTTTTCCTTGTGTCTGAGGACAAGAGGGTTGTGGCTTACCCATGATTGGCACTCGGCTATCTCAGGGAGAAATAATAATTAAAAGTGTTATTGAGCCCTAGCATTTGGAAGGGGAATTTGCAAACTAAATACTGAGGTCTGCTGAACTGTGACTGCTAAACTCCCTCTTCCTTAAGCCCATGAGTCTCTAACAGCAGCTGGCAAAATAAATTTGTTCACAGCCTTCCCCCTTCCCTCACTTGTGGGCACATTAAACTCAGGTGTGACTGGGACAGTAGGAAATGAGAGCAAGTGCCAGACAGTAGAAGAATTGGGATGCACAGAAGTAGAAGGCAATTTCTGCAGCAGCTGCTCCACAGAAGCTTCCTCTTCGCTGACGGCACATGCAGGACCTGAGCAGCACAGGGTTGTCCTGGGGCCGCGGGGCACGCCATCCTCATACTAGTGCTAGGCTGCCTGCCCTGTGCGTGTCCACAGCCATAAGGAGATGTTCTGGTGCCACAGCCCTTCTTCTCAGGCCTTAGGTGCCACAGCTCCGTGCTCACACAGCTACCATAGATTTGCACATCTCCTCCTGGGTACCTAGAGCAGCTGGCAAGGCCAAGCGACTCACCCCAGTTTGGTATATCCCCCTCGCCCTACAACTGCTGTCGCCCCACTAGACACCTCGCGGTGTACGTTGAGAAGTAACTAATGAGGAAGAGGTCCAAGTCCTGTTAGCAAGGGAAGGAGCTGTTGCCTCTTGGCGAAAAAGCTGTCCTCTGACGGCAGAGAATCAAGAGCACTGGAGTTTGTATCTCAACGTTTTCTTGCAGAAGCCCCAGCTAATAGCCCCTAAGGTCAAAGCAGCTCACGGCTGAGGCAGGCAGTTGTTGCTTGTTCAGAAAACACTCAGCAAAGACAAATTATTACATGCAATTTTTGGTTACCAGAACTTTGAGACCGGATAGGATTAGTGACAGTTACCCCAAATACAGAGGAGATCCAGTGTGAGGTCTGGAAAATGTCATGGAGAACCACGAGGAGGTGAACGGCATATTTAGGGAGTGTCTAGAAAGTGTGACATCCCCAGACTTTTTTTATGGCTTTTACTGCTATCAGGCTTGATCCATGATTCTTGTAGCCATGCAGTTTCTTAGCCAACCAGAAAGAAAAAAAATGACTCAGCTGTGGCAAAATTGTTCCACCTTTCTTTGTATTTGCATATGCAAGACAAAACTCAGCTGGTGTCCATCTACCATTCAGCACATCTCTTACAGGAAATACTTTCCTGTCTTTGGGGGGCAAACCCAGCAGGAGAGCAGTATTGTTCTTCCTTCATGGAAAGCAGATCTCCATAGCTGGATGTAAAGGTGAGGCACCTAAAATCAGAGTTTAAGATTAAAAGGAGCCATTAAAATAATTATTTTTAGTCCTTCTGCCTAAGTGAAGATGATGAATTCCAGCCCATTAACATGAGAGCAGAATTTCTGAAGGCTGGGGACACTGCACAAGCTTTGGACATGACTCTCCAAAGGGGACAGCAGGAGACAGATTTGGCCTCACAGAAGTGGCTGTGGGTTGAGGCAGAAAATCTTCTTCATGTCCCCCCAATCCTGTGCCATTCCTACTCTGTTCCCTGCAACACTCCCAGCTCAGCTCGAGAACATCCCCATCTGATCCATCTGGATCCAAGAGTGGGAAAAGTTCATTTCAGACCCAGCTTGACATTCCCAGGTGGCAACTTAGCACTAACATCTCAATCTGTATGCGACATTTCAATCAGCGCAGAGTAACAAAAGCAGAACTATTAGCGTTGGGAGCTGTTCACTGGATGGGGAAACTCAGAAACTGGAAATGAAAAGGGGAAAAAAAACCCTCAACACCCTGAAAGGCAGCAGGGGAAGAGAGGCGGAGAATTTTTCCTCTACACTTAGGCCAGGATCCAATGTTTGGATTAATGGTGCCATTACCCAAGAAAGGACTTCAGATAATGCTCATTCTTAAAATGTTTTTGCTGGCAATTAAATGGTAGCAGTTATTGATCTTCATTGATCTGATGTCCTCAATTTGCATAATCTATTAAAGATGAATGATTCATGATATGTTTGCTATGGGGCTGGGCAATGCTTTCAGGAAGGACCAGAGAGGTGAGGAACTTGGTGCTGCCTCTTGATCTGCCCTGGCCAGAAAATTAAGGAAGGCTGGGATCATGCAGATTTCTTTGGTATCACCCCGATTCCTCTCCCAAGACGGGATACTGGAGTAACAGGGAGTACTGAATTGCTGGGCGCCTGTTTTGCTACTATAGTGTCATCTTTGAAATGCCTCTTTGCTCTTGTCCCAGGGCAGTCTGTGAACCCTGGTGATATCTGAAACAAGCGTGAAACAAATCCACCCATGTAGGTACAAACTCTGTGTGCAGTCACTTCAGAATGTAAGATTTAGCTTCAGTCTACAAGAAAGTCCCTCCAGCTCAGTCTTCCCAGACAGAAAAAAGTATCACTAACTCTTTCCAAACCAAAGCTGTCTAGCATTGGATTCTTGCCCTTTCTGAAGACTTCAGAGAAAGTTCTTCTATTTCTGGTTCACAACTAGCTTTCCTCAGCAAGCTTTCTCAGATCACATCATTCTGAGAATACACCCCTCCAAAAGCCACCAGAACCTCAACAATATGTAACTACCTAAAATCTTAGAATGTAGTGAGATAGTTATGTACAGATGTGGCTGAAGTCTCTATCTGTCTGTGAGCTTCCCAGAATTGAAGAGCTAGAAATGCTTCAAAACAGGCAGCCACTTTCCCAATGTGCAGGATGCCTTCCCCAAAGTCCTAGGCATCTATTCAAAGACACAGCTTAGCACCATGGTTAGATACAGCACAGCCTTGCCTAGTACTGCCAATATCAAACAGTGCCTTTCAAACAATTATTCTAATGCACTTAGATGGTCCATTTATTACCCACATCTTCTAAAGCAAGTAGACAAAATATTTGTTTACTACGGAGCAGACAAGTCACCCTTATTTCTCCCCATTAGGTATCTGCAAGGAATTTCCGTGAACGAGCTGACACTTAGGGGCTAGTTGGGCACTAGGTTAGGAAACATGCTCCCACTGTCCTTCATATAGAACAGACAATGTAGAAATGTTCAACTTCCTTATGAAGTATCAGAGAGAGAAAGCTCTTAAGAGCCGCCTGAGAACATCACCTCTCCTCTTGCTTCCCACACAAGTGAGGGAGCCAGCTACATCTTGCCTCGATGTTGCATGGCCATCATAGCTAGATTGGCGTAGATCCCTGACAGGTTCTTGGACAGTATCTTTGGACGCCAATCAGATTTCCCAGAAGCAAAGATCCAAGCTTGAACATACCAAGATAAGGCAAGTACATGCAGTTGAACAACAAGACAAGAATTCTGCTGTTCAGAGATGTTCTACTTCAGTTATTTCTATTGAAGGCAAACAGTCCAGGCAGATGAGTATAATCTGTACAGGGCTAAGTAAATACAGAAAACCTCAACAGCTTTCTTTTATTCAGTAGTTTCCACAGGTCTTTGACTTTGGAAGGTACTCAGTAGCTAACACCCAAGATGTGAGTGGTGGAGAACCTCAAGATTTTCACAGTAGCAACAGGAGTACTTTAAAAGCACAAGGTTGCTCACAAAAGCCTTGAATCCTTTGAGAACAAAGGTTAAGAACCTTCTTTATGTGCCATCAGAAGTCACATCTTTTGGAACAGGCATGCAGGAAAGAAGTGGTGTGTCTTCAAACCAGGTTCTGAGTTCTGGGAACTTAATCATTTGGGAGCAGAGTCCTTTCCAACTGAATTATCTAGCCCAGAAGTTACCCAACAGAGAGGCAACACTATGGGAAATATAATGGACTTTTCACGCGTGTGGCTTGAAACTTTCATATTAACAAACTACTAAAGGGGAAGATTTACCTACTAGATGGATGTTAAATTACAGCAAAGGTAAAGAAAAACTTCCCTTAATTGAATTCCAGCAGTTTTAACTAAATAGACCTTGTTTGCCAGCCCACTACAATCAGTGAGATCTACAAAGGAAAATAAGGGTAAAAGAGAAGCCCAAGAAAAACGGCAAATAAAAGCACTTTAGGAACTTCTACTGTTGACTGAAATGGGAGTATGTGTCCCCTTCTCTTCCTGTGAGGAGATTTCTGAGTGCTTCTGTGCTATGGTTAGCACCTATTAACAGGAAGAGGTAACATTTGAAACCATCATCATCCACAAAAACAGCTATCAGGTCCTGTATAGAAAATGTTTCCTTCTCTCTGGGAAATAATTTTTTCCCTAAAGCAACAAGTATCATCCAAGGTGAGAAATCACAATGTGTCAAACAAAGGCATCAAAAAAGCACAAACCCCATCAATCTCACTTTGCTCCAGACTTCCCCTCTCTGGCATGGGTCAGATATTTTTTCAGTTTAAGTTAACTTTTTAAATTCATACATGAATGTATGCAAAAAAAAAAATTATAATTACTGACATTAAGGCTACTTGCTATGTCTGAAAGACAGAAAAAAACAGCAATTACACAGCATCTGATTTCTGTGAAAGTTTTCAAGAAAGTTGTGATGTTAAGTACAGAGAAATCACTGGCTAGACACCTGGCTCCAATGTTTTTCTGAAATGATAAACAATCTTTTGAGAACTTTAGCCTCCTGCAAGGTGCAAAGATATTATTTCCTT